GTTTTTAATCTTTCGTTCAATTTTTGCAAATTATTTTCTGATTCTTTTATATGCTGTTGATATTGCTGGAACATTGAATCAAATTCATTTCTATATTTTATCTCTAAATTATATTTAAGTTCAACTGCTTCATTTTCAGCTGCTTGTATTTTTTGTATAAGCGACAATTTTTCTTGCTCCCTTTCTTGCAAAAGCTTTCCCGCATGATTACTATTCTCTTGAAGCTCTCTAGAAAAGTTTTCTTGATTTGTTGTATTTCTTTGCAAATCGTTTATGTATGTTTCCAACTCTTTGATCTTTGATATACTATGCTGTTCCAATTCTCTACTTTGCATTGTTTCTTTTTCTAATTTCTCGCATTGTTCCTTTAGATACTGTAATTTTTTCTCGTATTCAATCGTACTCGAACTAGTTAAGTCATTTTTCTGACTTGCAACTAAATCTAACTCATTCACCAAAGAGTAAATACGCTCGTTTAATTGACTAATTAAGGCAGTTTTACTTTGTTCTTCAACTTTTAAACTCTCTAGTTCTACTTCTAACATCAGTCTCTGACTTTCCAGTTCTTTTTCTCGCATTGAAAATTGTTCCATTTCTCTACCCATATTGGCTAATTCAGTCTCAAGAATTTGTACCTTCTTTACTGCTGTGCTTTCGTTATCCGATACTTTTTGTTGCAATTCTTCGTTAATATCTTTTAGGGTGTTTATTTCACTTAATAAATTCGCTTTCTCAGTTCTAAATTGATTAAGCATATCGGTAAAGTTCATACTACCTTTCTTCAGTTCGTCCATGTTACTCCTCAATTCATCGATATAATTTTGAATTTGATCTATCCTAGTATTTTTGTTCGAACTTTTTCTTGGCGTAGAATCACCATCGGTACGAGGTGCATTTGCAATCACATCATTTTGGAGTTTTTCTAATTCGTTACATTTATCCTCATACTGAATCGACAATTTGTCATGATCAGCTTTCAAAGTTTGAAGTTCATTATTCAAACTCTGAATCTTTTCTTCGACGAAGCTCACATTCATCTCATCTACGAAACTAACATTCGACGACACATCAAGTTCGCTCCAATTTAACTCTTGATTAACTTTATTCTTCAGAATCTCGGTATCCGCGCACTTGCGATCGAACTTCCTCTGTAGATCCTCCAGTTTTTTATTTAAGATTTTAGCTTCAAGCTTGAAAACTCTGCGACTTTCGTTCAAGTTTCTCAAATGCGCACACTGACTGCAAGAAGTTAGTTTCAAATCGCTAAGCTTTTTATTTAAGTGTGACAGATGATCAATCTTGCTCTGCAACGCCATAACTCTGCACGTTAGTGACTTCCGGGTTTCTTCTTCTGATATTCTTTGTTCAGCTGTACCGGCCTCTGCGCTATCGTTAAATATCGTCGATAAATGTAATGTATTGTTATACGACATTTCATTGCGAGAAGAATCAAGATTTTCCATAGTCTCTAACAGATTGCTAGAAAATTTCGCATTCTCTTCAGACAGTATTGTTACTTTCATTTTTAATTCGGTATTTTCTGCTTTCAAGGTATTGTTTTCTATCTTCAAATATTCCACACCAGTTTCAGTGATATTCTCATTCATCGCCAGCGACTGTTCTATCTTGTTTTTGAATATATTGCATTGCTCTTTTAACATATCGTTTTCTTCTATTTTATCTATCAAGTCTGTAGAAAGCTCGTTATTTTCCGATAACAAACTCTCGTTCTTTTCCGTAAGATTAGCTACTTTTTCTTTGTAAATACATTCGTGTTCGTATAAAAGCGATTTACTTTCTTTGATATTCTCAAGTTCCTTAGTTTTCTCAGTAATGAAGGCTGTTAATTCGATGTTCTCTGCTGTTAATTTATCAATTTTACATTGATACGATGTGAACAACTGTTCTTCGTCATTCGTCGCTGATATTTTAGAACGCATAGACTCCAGTTGATCGTTCAAATCCGTTAAATCACTTTCTAAACTAATTTTTTCGTTCGTAACTTCGGAGATACGCATGTACAGTTCATCGATGGTTTTCTGAAGACTATATTGCGTCTGTTTCACGTTTTCTTGCTCTGTGGTTAATTTAGTAGCCATTTCCATATTTTCTGTTGTTAACAAACAGATGGTTTCTTGCAATTTTTGTATATCCGTTTTGAGACTTCGAACATCGCTCTTTATGTCTTCCAGCTCGTGACTTTTTAGCTGGAGTGTTTCTGCCAATTGGCTTTTCTCTGCTTCCATATTCATGATTAAATTTGAAGTATCCGTGATGCTTTCATTGATCCTTGAATGAGGCAGAACAGATTGACTTCCCAATTGATCTCTCAAATCTTGATTTTCAGTTTGAAGATTTGTTATAACATCTTGTAAATCCTTTGTGTAATCTTCCACTTTATTATCCAACTTGCTTCTCGATTCTAATTCTAAATCTTTTTCATTGGATTCGCTATATTCCAGATCGTTCTTCTCCGAGGCAATGCTTTCGATTTGCTTTTCTAAATCGGAAATTTTTCTCGTCGCTTCTACATTCGTGGTTTGTTCCGACGTAATTTTTAATTGAAATTCAGATATCTTCTCGTTTAATTCAACGTTTAATCGATTATTAAGCTGTTCAAATTCATTTCGTTCAGACGTGATACTTTCAATTTTCTCATTTAACTCAGACATTTTTTCCATTGCTTTTCGTCTTTCAGTTTGCTCCAACGTTAATTCAGAAGTCTTTTTATCTAACTCGGCACGCAATTCAGTAACAGCACATTCGAATTCACCTTTGGTAGACATTATATTTTCCATTTCAACTTCTAGCTCGGTGATCATTCCTATTTTACTTATTAACATATTCAAGTTCGTTTATCTGAGATGTCATGCTTGTAATTTGATTTTCAAGTTCAGTAATCTTTTCCATGGCTTTTTCATTTTCACTTTGTTCTGTTGCTTTCACTTCCAACCCAGAAATTTTTTGGCTCAACTCAGCACGCAATTCATCGCTAATACGTTCAAGCTCATTCTTCTCTGATACTACACTCATAATCTGTTGTTCAAGCTCAGTAATTTTTTCCATCATTTTGTGAGTGTTAACTTCGTTCGATATTACAATCGAATCCATTTCAGAAATCTTTTTATTCAATTCAACGCGTAATTCGGCATTAACACGTTCGTATTCATTTTTTTCGGATGTTACGTCTTCAATTCGTAGTTCCAGTTGAGAAATCTTTTCCCTTGTTTTCTGATTCTCCATTTCTTCTAACGTTATCTTCTCTATCAGCTCAGAAGCTTTTCGATCCATCCCAATACGTAATTCATTATTCGCACGGTCAAGCTCACTTTTCTCTGCAGTAATATTATCAATTTCCTCTTCTAGTTCTGAAACTTTTCTCATCGCTTTTTGGCTTACAGTTTGCTCACATTCAATTTTGCATTCGGAGTCTGCGATTTGTTTCTCTAACTCAGCCTTTAGTTCGATATTGACGCGTTCTTTCTCATTTTTCTCCCAAATAATTTGTTCGATATGTTTTTCTAATTCGAAAACTTTTTCTACTGCGCTTTGTTTCTCTGTTTGTTCCGAAGCAATTTTTAATTCAAATTCTGAGGATACTCGATTTAATTCGGCGCGTAAGTCCGCGTTCATATGTTCACAACTGTTTTTTTCCAATATAATATTTTCAATTTGTACCTCCAATTCTCTTATCTTCTCGTTTACTATTTTAGTATTTCCATCTTCTAAATTATTCTTCAGTTCCTCTAATTCTAAAGATTTTTTATTTAATTCCGCACGCAATTCTTGACGCATGTGTTCAAATTCATTTCTTTCAGAAACAACATATTCAATTTGTTTTTGCAATTGTGTAATCTTTTTTGACAATTCAGCGTTGATGTGTTCAAATTTATTTTTTTCTAAAGTAATATTTTCAATTTGCTTCTCTAATTCCAAAACTTTTTTCATTTCTTCTTCTCTTATACTTTCTTCCGACATCGTTTTCAATTCCAGCTCCACTGTTTTTTTCTTCAATTCTGCGCGTAATTCATGACTAATGTATTCAAATTCATTTTTTTCGGATGTAATATTTCCGATTTGTTTCTCCAGTTCTGATAATTCTTTCGTTATTTTGTAATTTGCTTCTTTTTCCGAAACGTTTTGCTTTTCAACTTGGTTTAATTTGATGCACAGTTCAGTGATTATATGGTCTATATTTTTTTCTTCTAAAAGATCAAGACTTGCAAGCTGGTCTTTTACTTCCGAAGTATATTCTATGTTATGACATTCTGGAGCTAATTTTGCTTCAATTTCTGTTAGGTCTTGCAGATATTGCCCATCTTCAGATCCAGAAGAACAATTCTTTTGACATATTAGCTGTTTTTCTAGAGTTGTAAATTCGCGAAGTTCTAAAAACTCTCTTGTTAAATCTGTAATACATCGCCGTAGAACATGCTTTGGTGTAGAGGGAGACATTTGATAATTTGCTGTTTGTGTTGATGTTTCACATTTTTCTGGTGTTAAATCAAAACTATTGTTCCTACATTTAATGGTTAACACGTCATCTTTAAATGTAACACGATTTTTACGTTTCGTTATAAATGTTTCTTCGTCGCTATCGCTTATATTTTGTGCAGTTTCACGAGCTCTTTCGCTTTCGAACAGTTCTAATTCAAAATCAGTAAAAGCCGTTTGAAATGTTTGATTCATTATATCGATAGATTGAATTATGCTTTTCCTATGCGGCTTTTCAAACGATACTTCTTTTATTGTTGGAAGATTAGGTTTGCTATGGAAAACGGGCAAATGTTGATTAAACATTCCAGGACCCCCCCATGTCTGTCTTCTTTTGGATTTGCACTTAAGCGATTCTTCATGAGCTGTATTATCTCCGGAAACAATACGAGTTTTTAGTAATTCTATGCGTTCTTCTAACAACTGATTAGTACGCTCTTTTTCTTGCAATTTAGATTCCATTTCTTCAACTTCTGCAACCCTATTCTCAGTTTTTATTTTCTGTAACTCTGCTTGAAGCCTAGTTAATTGTTTTGCATAACGTTTTAAAAGTGCTGCATCAGACATAACTTCATTAACTTGTGGTTTGGTTTTCACACTTTTAGCGCGAGATGCAAACGATAAGGAACATTGAGTTTCCTCTAAGGCAGCAGGAGTCACAGCACATATTATTGCTGTCATGGCATTACCACCTAGTGATGTCTGGAGTAATCTTGTTAATTTACTGTCGCGAAAATTAACATGTTTTTGGCCATCCTGTGCTTCACTTAATTGCATAATTACTAAACCTAATGTGGACAAAGACATATTAATATGCCTTCCCTCTTTAAATCTTTCTCCAGTAGCTCCTGTTTGTCGTGCTCTTTCAGAACCAGCAAGATCTACTAAATTTAATTGTGATACTTGGATAGCACCATCAGAATCTCCTCCAGCTTCTCTGCTTTCAATTGTCTAAGTGGAAAATTTATGGTGAGATGTTATATTTCAACATATTGTACTTTAATATGAACTTACAATTCTAAATATAGTGTGACTTCTGCTGCTACGCTCATTCATATTAGTTTCTCCTATTCTCCTGTTTTTATCCCCCTTTTTCATTATAGATAGCACATTCTCAGGACAGTTTGTGATTTCTTCTTTACATTTTAGAATCACCTGTCCACTACCATCTTCTTTTATCTTTAAATCAATCCCACTTTTATTCAGAAGATCATTAACTTTTTCATTATAAATTTCTAAATAGGATACTCTAGAAAATATCAATTATTTTTCATACATGAACATAATCAGAACATCATTATATGTTTTGTTGTTAAAAATAATATATATATATATATAAACCTCAATAAAAATTCACGTCCAATAGTATTAGTAATAGCATCAAACATATATTCTATAGCAAGAGGTATAATTCCTGGTTCTTCTGCAGTACCCATCATAGTATATGTTTTACCAGAACTTGTTTGACCATAAGCAAACACTGTACCATTAAAGCCATTTACACCAGCATTTACAATAGGTTTTACAATAGTATCAAATACATCTAAGTTAGTTGTATTTACGTCGAAAATATGATCTGCAAAAATATAATTAAAAAAATACAACCGTAAAACAAAGTTCATTGGTAATAAAAAAATAACATTACAAAAGAATAATTTGAACATGTACATATAAATTTTGTCTTGAATAATTTAGAAGCATACCAAAGCAAAATCCTCCATCGCCACGCCGTTTCATCTCCGAATCTGTAGAAATAATAGAGTTCCCTTGAACTGTCCATTGTATCGGCAAATTTTCGTCTTTTTCACGTTTAATCAAGGGTCTCACTTTAATGGCAACTTTTATACTGTCCGACATTTTTATTTAATGTTTCCTTCCAGTTATGAAACGGGTAATAATATTATCCTATCATTAATTATCTTTTTAATTAACATTTACGTCATTTATTCACATCACAATACGGTTGACACTCATATATCGTAACTGCCATTTGAAAAAGTCAGACTTTTAGTTTCAGTTTAAATTTCATGTTTCTGTCATTTGATTGGCTGACTGAAGAAGCATTAATACACTCTATTAAGGCAATACGCAAAATGTGTAAGAATAAATTGTTAAAGGTTCCTTTACATGCAAAGCGTTTTTTTTTTATAATACTAAAGTAGAATTAATAGAGATAAATAATGTTTCAATCAGTACTTAACGCTAACAAAGTTTAGAAATATGATTTTAAACTAAGCTGCATTTTTCATTTTTAAGTTATATCCGTCTGTAATATATGGGGCAAAACTGCCTTTTCTCGTTGCGTACATCCACACATTTTTAGGAGTTGAGACGTAACACGTCAAACCTTAATAAATATTAAATTTGCATATAACTTCATTTCCTAATATGTAGTTATAATAATAATAAATTAATGGAATCATTGTAAACGAAAGTAAAGCCATATTAACCGACTTTTTTTTAATGTGACCAATCACATTACTCTTGCACAATTTTAAATGATTCGAGTTTTGGCGCGTAATGAAATTTAAATTATTGTTAAAAAGTGGTGAATCTTTTGTGAGATTGTGTCGTTGTTTCTTAAAAGTGGTAAATTAATAAATAAAATAAGTGTATCAGTTCACATTTCCCGATATTTACGTGAGTAATATTTATATTTTTTAACGATATTTAATTTTTTGTAGAATGTTTAGAGGTGTTTAACAAATATTATTTGAAAAACTAAAAATATTAATTTTGTAGTAGTTTATTACATATATACGTATATGTATCTCTACAAAAGTGAACATCAATTAACGCATCGTATAATTATATATATAATATTAAAGGAAATAACATTATTTTTCATGACTAGCATCATATAAGCTCTTTCTTTCAATGTAATTTGTCGGTTCGAATGACCAAATTTTTTTTATTTCGTCACCTCGTTCGTGATAATGTTAAATTGGAACAATGGTAACTTATACTTCTTAAAATATAAGATTTAAGAAAATTATTACACATTATAGACTAATGCTAAAACGATTTATAATAATCTTCATGATTGAGCAGTTGTAAAATTTTGCGATAATTAATTGTAAGCACTAAAATACGAACATAATAAAATGTTCTATCTTTTTTATTGAATTTTTCTAAAGTTGCAATAAATAATGGTTTACAAATATTTTAATTTTCTATGATCCGCAAGCAGGATGGCTCAATTGAGCCAGCTAAATATTTTGGCTGGATTAGATGTCTATATTCTTATCCACAAAGAATAGACACAATCCATTCTTTGCCAACTATGTGTGTTATTTTTGGTACTTTTTTTTATAACAATATACCACTTTCTACGTTCTATGCTGTGTTGGATTTCAGTAACTCATCTATCAAACAATCAGAAGCATATCTCTACAATGCTTTTGTTTGGTGATTCTCTTTGGTCTCGGGACGAGACTAAAGATAGCATTATTCTTACCATTATACTATACTCTGAAAGTGCTTTCCATTATACGGATCATAAGCATATGCTTGGCAATCCGAATATATTATATATATTTAAAATAACAGTATGATATTACAATAAATTAATTAATAACTAATACATAAAAACTACAATAAAAGGTTAAAATTATCGTACTGTATGGACGGAATGGGAATAAATTTCCTGTCGTGAACCTTCATTCTTATAAAATTTTGTAATACGTGATAAAAATAGCACATGTTTAAAAAAAGGAAGAACATTTTCAATAGCAAAATTATTCTGTGGCATCAGAATAATATTTATAGAGGCACCTAGGATATTGTACCCTGATAAACATACTTTAAAACTTTTAGATCGAATAAATTTGCAAAAATTCAGTTCTAAATTTGTATAAAAAATGCAGGTAAACATTACAAGATGCCAAAGTACTATTATTAAAATGTTACGTTAATATTCTTAGTTTTAATATTATTAGGTTTGACTTGAAATTTACGCAAATGATATATTAATTATTGGTCTTTAAATAACTTATGGCAATGAATTTTAAGTACATCTGAGACTAGAATAAGATATGTCTAATTATGTTCCCATATATGGAAGAATTATTAGATACTACTTCTTCTATAAATATCGTTGAACGTACATTGGCAGTTTTCATATTTGATTCAGTCTGAAACAATGTTGTAATTTATTTGAGCTGTGCCGGTGTGGAAGATCTATCGTAAGATGGTGAAGGAGGAGGTAAAGCTAACGATGGTGGTAAACTGGTAGTACTTGTCAGAGTAGAATCTAATTTTCGAGCTTCGTGTTCTAGTAATACTGCATCTAATGACGGATCTTGCGCTACCGTTCTCAAAGAATCGCCCAGGGCTTGTCTTAGTTGTTGCATTTCTCTGCCAGCTCTTGAACTTCGCAATACGTATAATTGTCGACGTTTTATTTCTTGATTAAGCTGTTCGCGTAGCATTTGTATCTATTGTTTATACGTTTATTCATAAATATATATATTTATAGAAGCCCTAAATATATAATCATGGATGAAAGTTAATACCTGATTTTCTAAACGTAACACCTGTTGACGATGACTTTGTTCTCTTGCCTCTAACAATTTTTCCGCTTGCAATTGTGCCGCCCTAAGTCTTTCTATTTCTCCCGTTCTATCCCTCGAGAAATCATATATCGAATGTGTATGACTGTAACTTGATTTCACTCTTATCAGCTCAGCTTCCTTTTCAGCTAGTTGTGTTTCTAATCTACGAACTTTTAATCTCAATTCTCTGTTTTCTTGTTCGTAGTGATCTGTATCGAAACTCGTGCCTAACAATTCCACGTGCGCTTTCTCAGGACGTTCATAGCTTTTACTACGATTAGTCGATTTAAGTAACGATAACTGGCGTTCTAAGTTACGTTTATCGGCCTCTAACAATTTTACCTAGAATACAAACAGATTCATGAATGTTCGTATTAATACCTCTCTCCCTACAAATATTTACTTTATCATTAAGGGCTTCCAATTTTCCTCTCATTTCGCTCCTCTCTCTCTGCACTGTTTGGAGCTGACGTAATAGTTCTTCGTCTTTGTTCGTACTTTCTTCTTGTGGATAAGCAATTATTCTCAATTGAGATTCTAAGGCACATCGTTGTACTTCGTTATTTGCTAATTCATTTTGTAGACGAGTAATCTGATCCGTCAACGTTTGATTCGTATGCTTTAGGTCGCTCAAAGATTGCTGCAATGATTCGACGCGTTCCGATAAAATTCTGCGTTCATTCTCAGCATTCGAAAGTTGTTTTTGTAACTGTAATAAAATACATAATAGTGTTAGAACGTGTAATAATCGCATTCTATTATTTTTATGTCGATACCTGTTTGTTCTTGTCGTTAGAAGTCTGTAAAGTACTTGTTAATTCCATGATGTTGTGCTGCAACGAATTAATTTCATTTTTTAATTCGCTTTCGGTATTAGATGCCTTCTCTAGGACAAGATGCAGTTGTTCCACTGTAGATTTCAAGGAAGCACAACGTTCTTCCAAACTTGCCATCGCTCGATTTTGCATATCATTTCGTTCTTGTAATTTCTGGGAACGTTAAAGAAAGAAACAATGTATTTACCACTTCTATGCGAAATCGAAAATTTTAACATACATGAATATTTGCATCTTTTTCTTGGAACATCATTTGTAACCTCTGAAGATCCCCTTCCAGTGACATTCTTTGTAATTCTAATTTTGTAGCACGGGACTCGCTTCTACTAAGTTCCTCTTGCGCGTTACGCTTTTCGTTTTCTATTTTGTTCAAGGCTTGCTTTAATTTATCTAACTTTTCCTGAAAAATTATCGATTTAGTAGATAAGAATTATTGAAATAGAAGCAGTTTATTTCAGCAAAAAAATATCGAATATGTTTACTTCGTATTGTGTTTTCTCTTCTGAACTACTGCTAATCAACTGTTCAAGATTGGCCACCTTCTCGCGTAATTGCTCACATTCCTGTGTTTTTTGTTGTAAAGCGTTTAACTGAAACATACTTATAAATAACGAAGCATACTTTTTAAATTTTATAGATGAAATGTACCTGGATCTCATAACCACTCTGTTTTTGAGAGAGTTTAACTTCCAACGAATTTTTTTCATCCTGGAGTATTCTGATATTTGTTAATAAATTGTTTATTTGCATATCTGATTTATTTTGAATCTCTTGATTTTCTGTTAGTTGCTTCTTCAGGTTACACAATTCAGTTTTATAATCATCCTAAAATTTGAGTAACCGTACTGTATAAAATTAACAACTATAAACTATGATATTCAATTGCGCCTAATTACCCTTTCACGTTCAATTTGAGCTACTTGCTGCATGAGGGACCGCACACCTTTCCTAACAATTTCAGGGTCGATGTCGAGCATTACATCTCTGCTAGAGTCTATATGATCTTGAGCTACATCATAAAGCGAATATATTAATTAAAAATTATTTATATCACCGCGTTAGCTGCATACCTCTTGCTGGGCTCCATCTTCTCGATGGACTCATCAATTTAAATGGTATATTAACACTTCCATCCATTTGTATGCCCGCGATTCGGCGTAAAGTAGAACCAACACTGCTCAATTTTTGTTCAACCTCTTTCTTTGCTATTTCTAATTGCGACAATTGAGCGTCTAGAGCTCGAACTCGCCCTTCAGATCCTCCAAGACGTGCCTGATTCAATTATTTCAGAAAAATCTCCAATTCTATTACTGCGGAATGAAATTTTTCACTAGTATCTTACCTTGAGTTCTTGGATCTGTTGAGAAGCATCGGTTAAACAAACTTCCAAGTTATGTTTTTGATCCTCCAGTTTTCTTTCACGACATCGACTGTCGTCGAGTCGAGCCACTAATTCTTGTTCTCTACATCTCCAACGTTCATCCTCTTCGTCCGCTCGTGAACGTAATCTTCCCAATTCTTGTCTCGTTACCTTCAAACTATTGTCCACATCTACCAGCTGCCCAAAAATAATTGCGAATAAGGATACGTCTTGTTTTATAAAGCGTTTCATAGTTTACCTGTTTCTTCACTTGATGCAGTTGTAGTTGCAAACGTTCTCTTTCTTCCGTCTCATTTGTTAATCGAGCTTGCAATTCTTTTTCGTCGTTTTGTGCCTGTGCATTGTTCTGATGAGACTTTTGCAATTCGTTCTCAGTAAAATGAAGTTGTTTTTGTAGTTGTAACATTTCTCGTTCCATGTCACGAAGTTGTGCTTGGAGACGAGACCTCTCTGCATCTATATTCATTTTCATATCTTCCAATGCTTTAAAATCAGCCAGAAAAAAAGATACAAATAAATATAATACAACGGTAAAATAATTTATCGCCAAATGTATATACTACCTGCAATTTTCTGGTACGATTCTTCCAACGTTCTGCTCTGTTCTCTTTTTTCACTTTCGATACGTTTCACGTGCTCGCGCAATTCTTTGTTGCTACTGTTATACTTTTCTTTTTCGTACGTACAATCGGCTAATTGCCTTCTGATATCCACTAATTCTTTGCGTAACGTTTCGTTCAGATTTTCAGCTATAAAATATACATTTATTACCTTGGGAATAAGGAACACGACAATTTTAAAGATAAATATAAAATTTACCATCTTTAAGCTTTCTAATCGTTTCGTGCAACTGATTTTGCAAACTATCGACCCTATCTTCCGTCATGTGTAATTGAACTTGCAACTCTTCCAATTCCCTTTGCGCTGATTCACGTTCTTTCCACAGTTCTTCGATTCTTAATTCCAGTTTTATTTTTTCTTCGTCAGCTTTAAGTTTAGTCTCGTCCAGTTTTGTTTTAAGACGACTTAATTCGTCGCGTAACTGATTTGTATTGTTGCGTTCTTGTTCAGCACGGGCTGCAGCTTCCCGTTTAACTCTTTCTACATTGTTCTTTTCTTCCTCCATTTCACGAAGAACGCCTTCAAGCTTTTCCACTAATGCTTGCTGATCGTGATGTGCTGCAAGTAAATAAATATTTTATAAATGTAATTAATACTACATTTTTATCTTTGATGCACCTATTTATCACCTATAAGAAGTGCTTGCTGTTTGTCATTCTCTGCTCTAAGGAGAACTTCCTCGTGCTGTTGACACAAATTTTCTATGTGCTGTTGCATTTCATCTATCCTTTGCTGCAATTGGCCTATCTCGTTATCTTTCTCTCCTGTAAGTTGCAACAGCGAATGTTGAAGTCGTTTTTCTAAGTTGATTTTTATTTGTTCCTAGAAATTAGTTCGATTAATTCAATTGCATGTATATTATAATCGGAATATCTGTATTTATATATACTTTTTCCTCGTTTAATTTTTTTATGCTATCCTCGCTATGTTTTTTCACGCTAGAAATAATCTGTTGAAATTCAGCTTCCTGATCACCGGTTTGTTGCGTTAAAGTTTGCTTTATTTCTTGTGCTCGTTTCTCGCTATTATCCAATTCCTTTAATAGTCTTTCCACTTGTCCTTTCAGGCTCTCTTGTTTTATCAACAGCTCTTTTTGTTCCTTTTCTAACAGCGTTTTTTTCACGTGCATATTTTCTAAATTAGTTTGTGTATCGAATAAGACACCTTCTAAGGTCTCTTTCTCACTGCGCATCGACGCAAGTTGCTCTTGCAGTCGTTGTACTTCTTTCTCATTGCTTTCCAGAAGAACCTATACGAATAAAGTGATTGTATTTACGTATTAACAATAAAACAACATCATTAATCATCATTTATATTATTCACTTGTTTCTCTTCGTTGTCTTTCACAAGGTCTTCCAGACTTCGATTTATTCTTCCGTTCATTTCGTTCGCCTGTTCCAGTCTCTGTCTCATTCTCATTAATTCTTCATTTAACGTTTCTTTCTTTCGTGCTAAAACTGACAACTGGTTACTTAAATCTCCACGCTCGCGCGTAATTTGCGCTAACTCTATCTCGACCTTTTCCTTTTCAATTTCCAGGAATTTTACTTTTTCGTTCAATGTTACTTTTTCTGATTCCAAATCGAGTCTTGTTTGCTCCGCTTGAAGCAATTCTTTCCTTAAAGAACCCAAATCGCCTTGTTGATCTGTGCATTGACTTGCTAATTTATTCTTTTCTTCTGTTACCTGATGTTGATAAATCACTGTTAGCTATTTATATCAAGAATACTTTTCGAAATGTTACCTTTTTTAGTTCCTCTTGCAATCGTTGTTTTTCTTGCTCGTGACTACCACAAACTGTTTCTAATTTCATTAAAACTTCTTGCACATCTGATTTTTCTAATAGTACACGTTCCAATTCTAGTTCCAAGTCACCTTTACTTTTCTCGATTTGTGAAATTAATCCATCTGTTTCTAGCTTTTGCTGTTCCAACATATCTTTCGTAAGATACGCTTTGTTCAATTCTTCCCGTAAAGTTAGCAACTCCTCTCTCATTTTACTGCATCTATCTTCTTCGGAGCGGAGATTTAGTTCCCTGATAATTGAATTTTTAATAGTATCAACCGATAGCAGTAAGAAACAATATAATTCTTATTTAACATACCGCAATTCTACATCTTTGGACAATCTATTGAGTTCAGTTTGAAGATATAATTTTTCATCTTCCAAGTTATCACAAAGTTTTTGTAACTTGTTGTTTGCTTTTTGTAACTTTTCACAGTCACTGTTTAGGTTCTCCATCTAAAAATAAATGTTTCACGTCGATTTAAACGATGTAAAATGTACTTGTATAGTTTATCTTAAAGGAAATATACCGCACCATACTGTTAATTTCCACTCTGCTTTTGTCAAGTGCATTTTTTTCTATCCTTACAGTATCCAGACCTTTTTGTAACATGTCTTTCTCTTGAATAAGTTGCGAGCAGTGTGATCGCACTGCGTCTAGTTCAGTGATCAGTTCTTCTGCCCTTTTCTCTAAACTTTTAACATTTTCTTCTGCGCTTTCGCATTGCTTTCGAGTTGATTGCAATTGTTCTTTATTAGTTTGTAATTTCACCTGATTTAATGAATTATTAAAACATATTGTTAGACAATAAAGTGAACATTTTATAAAATAAACTTTACGCCATTTACAATTTACCAAAACATACAATATAAAATCTTCACACCTGAAGCTCGTGTATAGTCAACTGATACTTATGTAGGGCTGCTTGCACAGCACTAATAGTACTTTCAGCAAAGGCTGGAATGGTGTTGCTTCTTGTACCTCTTTTCGGTGATCTCTGAGGGATTGGTCCAGTGGGTGTTAGATGAAGATGAGGAGGCGCTTGATTAGATTCGATTTCGCGGTTCTCCGCATCTTGGATTACAGCATGCGCTATGTCTCTCAATGCAGATTGTAAAATTTCTATGTCGTCTTGTAAACGTGAATTGCGGTGCACTTCTGTTTCAGCCTCCCCACATCTTTCTTCCTGAATACAGAATGTAATCGTTCTTTTACGTGTATCTTAACATTGCCTTACGTTTTGTATTTACCAAAGTATGAACATCACGAATGAGTTGATTAATTTTATCTTCTTTTATGCGAATTTCATTTTGAGCTACGTCGTACTGTTGTTTAACCGCTGTTAACTCTGTTTTCAAATCTGTTGCTACTTGTTCCTGTACCTGTTGAACTTGATGGGATAACTAAAATACGACAAAGTTAAAACGCGATTAACATCGAATATCGTAAAGTCATAGAATTGATTAAGAACATAAATGTACCACTGGTTGCATAGCTGCTTGCATTCTCATAGCAAATCCTGTATTGTTACAGGCCGAAGAAACGTCATTGAAAGTAGAAATTATGCTGTTTTTCATTTTCAACAAGTCTCTCTCTGTGCTAGATTTTATCTCCGCAAATAATCGTTTTACAGAAACAACATCGCGCCAAAGGTTTAATAATCTATTATGTTCTGAAGTATAGTATTCATTGAAAGCTTGCTCCTCTTCCCTCCACTCTTCTTCTTTGATGGCTAATTCTTCTCTTAAAATATCCCAATCATTGCTTAATTTTTGCAGGTCATTTGTAAGTGCTTCATTTGTTTGATGAGATTCTTCTAGTTGATCTTTCAAGGTGGTGTTTAATTGTAGCAGTTTTTCACATCTGAGAAAAAGAGTAGTACTTAAATATACACTTTAGAAAATTTCTTCTTTCAGCACAAGAAAGAAATGGCACCTTTTTCTTTCTTCTGCAAGCTTTTTTAAAGCAGTGTCTAAATCGTGAATCTGTTCTTCACGTATTTCCCTTAACATTTGATGGGCTGCATCTAGGGCAGATGTTGAAGGAAGTTGGGAAGTTGTTACAGAACTTGTAACTTTATTAGAATCATATGTAGTAGTTTCTGCCATTTGATTTTCAAGTTCTGAACATCTTTGCTTATATTGTAATACCTACAAATACCAGTTGTTAATATATTTTGTAAAATCCAATTTCACAAGCTACAACAGGGCCTACTTTGGCTTGTAAACGCGAAACAAGTGCAGCTTGATGTTGTTGTGCTTGTCTATATGTATCCAGACGTCTCTTGTAGTTGGCAGCCTCTTCTTCAAGCCGGTGTCGTAGTTCAAAATTTTGCTTGACCAATGCATCTGGGGAAAGATCCTCCTCGCTTAAACGATCTCCTGTTCCACTAATTATACTGCTTGTGGAATCCATTTTACTACCTGTACTTTTGTCTACCTATGAAAAAAACTAATGTTTCATAAAATAATGCAACATTCTATGGTTGGCAGTTTAAAATGCCATTTTGGTATTTCCGTATTTGGAAATGCCAAATGGCATTTCTAAAAATACTTATACTACATTATTCGATTTAAAATTCGCAATCGTATCTTAAATTCGTTGTCATATCATCACCATATTATAAACAAGTATGTACAAAATAAAAAAAATATTTACAACTTGTTTATGCAGGTATTATTCATTTCAGTCATATATTATATTCCTTTTTTTCGTGTTTCTGAATATACCATAATGAAATAGTGTAAATTCTGAATTAAATATAAAATAGTGAAATCATGATTGAGGTTATGTTTCTGTTTATTGTTTACAGTTGCTTAGTAAGCTATATATGATTGCATCTATAGATGCATACAATCATGGTCGCATGCTATCTCTGACTTTTCGATTTTTTAAGTTGGTTGCATTTATTGCGAAACGAACTAATTGTTTAAGACTTTTTCTTAGTTCATAATTAATAAAAAAAAAGTTGGCAGAAGAATTAGAAACAGTTGGCAGAAAAATTAAAAAAATACTAATCTAATTTTCCCGCCAAAAATCTTGCTAACGTCCAACTCTTAATCCTACATTTTCCTGGGTGAATAGCAGCAACATGTTTTAACATTGAAAACCTAAATGTTAGAGCATAGGAAAAATGTAAAAAAATCTGCTTTTATACCTCTTTCGTCTTACTGGGGCCTCTGAGAAACGGTGGTCGCCGCCTTTCCATCTGTCCTCTCGATAATTGTGAAATACCTTTGGACAACGGCTAGAACATATTTTTACAACGCTTGAAACATTCTTGTTTTCAACGATCGCATCGTTTCGCGAGCTCTAACTTTCCATTGCTAACATTTGCGAAACGTAAATCTGCCGTGCAAGATAACAGACATCGGTGTACACTTGCAAAGCAAAAACAAAGGAAAGTAAGAGAATTTCTGTACACGATCTTTGACATAATTTTCTCCTCCCCTGGGAATGATCACGCGCGCGTCTCTACAACGGTAGAGACAACAATAAGAAAGAAAAAGGAACGAAGAACGAAACGTCGAGATGAAGATGACTTTCGTAACATCTGACTCGTGTACCACGGCACGTATTCCAATCCAGTTACGGTTACATTAGGTCAGCTTAATCTCCAACGTAAGTACATATATGCAGACGAAACAAAACAAAGCTGACGAAAAGTATCGTTATCAACGACGAGAAAACTAATCTCACGCTAGACGTAAAACTTCCAAGAATTTCTCATTTTTCCTCCGTCTCATATTCTTTCAGTTCGCAAAAATTCAGTACGTGTACGTAATAGATAAGAGAGAGTTGAAGCATGACGAAGCTCTTCAAGTTCCAAAGAATTACGAGCATCTTAATTGCTACGGGAGAATCGAGAAGGAGAAACGAGTCCGAGCATAGTCATACTTCTCGATTTTCCTCTTTTGTTAAAGCATTGTCGTATCCGGTAGCTACGCGAATGGAAGTAGAAGAAGCACGACCCTCTGCCAGGCACCGAATGGCACCAATCGATATGTATATGGCCAAACTGGCTCCTCGCGAGGATATCACCCCTCGAATACTCTGTTCCAACTTTTCTACGATTTCGTACACACAACTTTCAATCGGTGCAGATGGTTCCGACCTATTCAGAAAGAAAATCGAGGAGCTAGCCGCTTGTTCATCGGAAGCCTAGCCGTATCCGTTCGACGATGGAAAAATCGTGACGAGGTAAATTGCTGTCTGTCGATCGCGATCTATAGACTGCCTTTTTTTTTATTGCCAACTTCTTCCTGTTACCACAAAATCTCATCTCTTTCGTTTCCATTTCATTAAACTTTTTCAATCTTTTAGGTACATTCTCTTGGATAAAGATGCAAAAATTTGACAAAATAGCGTTGGTTTTGAACAAAGCAACGTCTTATTTAGTTAGTGCGAAGATAAATTGCTGCCTTTCTTCATGATCTATAGACTGCCATTTTTTATAGCCAACTTCTTCCTATTTTTATAAAACCTCATCTCTTTCGTTTCTGTTTCGTTGAACTTTTTCAATCGTTCAGGTACATTCTCGCACATTGGAATGTAAAATTTCGACAAAATAGGGTTGGTTTCGAAGAGAGCAACGTCTTGTTTAGTTAGCGCGTTGAAGATTCCGCGATGGTACGTTGGCATGATCAATCCCGCGTGCAAATCAAGTCTGAAAAGTTCAACGTACGAGTTGCACGCGGCATGGAAAACCGTGGTTCGAGCCAACCCCCCTGTGAATCTCGCAGCTGGACTAATAATCACGACAAGATAAACCGCGTCGGGGTACATTCGATCTTCCGCGTCGATAAGTAATAACAATTACCGCTCGGTCGTTCAACGATGCCTGAAACTTTCCTACAAACTCGACAATTTCCAAGCCACTTTCGGTCTCGTGTCCTGGCTCGAAACGATATATCCAGTTCGAAACTCGGTCCCGCTCGTAATTGCCCGATATCAGGGAACACGGGACCACCAAATTTATCCAATTCGACCAACTTATTTTAAATAAATTTCCTCATTCAACCCCTCAAGTACTAATCGAACTGTCTCTACTGTTAACCTCGTCAGTCCTCGTTAAGTCAGACTCAACATAAGAATTTTTGCCTTCGGATATCGTATAATGATGAATTATAATTTATAAGTGACAATAAACCATTTTTTTTATGCGTTAATATTACACCGAAACTTAGTATTTTGTAACTAATATTACGCTGAAATATTGAAATGAAGGGAAACTAGACGGTACTGCCCGAGAGTGACCAAACGAATGCGGACTAACTTGGACTATTTGGACCGCAAAGAGATCTTAATTTCAACTTAGTTTCAATTGGAACTTGAAGGAACTCAAAGGGAACTTAGTTTCAATTATACAAAGAGAATCGTTTTTTCACTGTTGGAAAACTTTTGAAAAAGAGGAAATTAGGAAGATCGCAAGAAAGTAAGGGGAATAGCCTTGAGACTGGTCAGATATTCGATCAACTGTAGAACGAAAACTGCAGAGCGTGTTATCTCGTTCGATTTTGTTTAAACGATCTGAAACTATACGTTCTATCGTCGGAGAAACAATTTCGTAGAATTGTACGATCGTGTCGAGTCCCATTGGATCGCGATAAATTGGCAAATCGGTAATCGCGCTCGGTGGTGTGGAGTTTGAACCATGTCAAAGCGGCGAAGGAAACGAGCAAACCGGATTGAACTGCACGGCTGACTATCTAAACGAGTTTTTGCAGACGCTACGTGTGGGTCACAGACTTCTTCACCTCGTCCATCATATTCCTCCCTCTTCTCTCACGTTATTCCGCCGTTGATAACAACAATGTCATATTGTGAGTGTTTCGTTTTTCTCGCTCTTCACTATCACGGGATAGTTTCATCCTCCTCCCATCTCCTCTTCCTTCGTCGCCGTTTTTTCGTCTGCCTCTCGTTTTTTTCCCCATCGGTATAGAACAAAGTCGAGAATTCGTTTCTACGATCTTCCATTCACTCGTGTCTCTGTTTCCAAGCACGTTTCTCTCTCGCTTGAAAGTTTCCGACGAAAGATGTATAAAAACGTCGATTTTCTTAGCACATTCTTCTCCCATAATTTCTCCTTTTTCTCGATCTGTTTCACTCGTGAGCAACACACGGTTATCGGGTCGCGTGATTTTCGCACGATACCTCTCGCAAAGAAGAACGTCTCGAACGTTTAATTCGCCGGTGAGAATTTGGAATATTTTCAAAGAATCGACGATCAGCGTAAACGGAGAGCGAGAAATGGTAGGAAAAATTTTGGTCGAACGGAATCCAAGTTGGCCGATAAGTGCATCGAATAGGCATAGCGTGAGAGAATCCGGGCTCGTTGCACGAGAATTCACGGTCACATAGTTTCACAAAGGGACGGCTGTACTCGTCCTTGACCATGGGAGAACGAGCTTCGATTACATACTTCGAATACCGAATCGATTCATAGTTGAACGTCGTTCAAACCACCGCCACTTTCTATTAATTTGCATTTTTACCGAGCACAAGTATTCATTTATCGTTCCTCATTTCTGACGATAATAAGTTCAGGTGACTCGATAAAAATATCGTCACGTTACATTCAAGTGGTAACTTAAAAATAACACGATAACTCGTGAATATGTTAACATAAGTCAAGCGATAAATTTTCTGAAAAAAATCAATAAAAATTCAATTTCAGCCACTTTTTACGCGTGAGATCCAATTGCTCGATCGGCGGATCCGTGGATTAGAGGCTGTTACTCTACGAGCATAGAAGGAAAACAGAAACGATGCAAATCATCCGCGGAAATAAAGAACGGTCAATGTCCAGTTAGATACTAGACTCTGTATGGGATCGAACTATCGAAGGCGCCTGCCTGATTATCTCGAGCACCGCCGCCGCCGACGTCGACGCGTATTCGTAGAATCATTGAGGAAGCGAGATTCCGATTGCACGCAGATATTTATAACACAACGCCGCGTGAAATTAATAGAGTTTCTGTATCGGGATCTCGTTAATTAATAAGGACAGCTGGACGTGACGATTCGTCCAGCTCAGCGATACGACTCACGCAACGTAGAGAAACGATTGCGAGAGTGAAATATACGAGCCAAGTGTGACTCGCGAGTAGTTACATACATGCAAATTGATTAGACAGACGGTTCCCTCTCTTTTTTCTTCTTTCTTTTCGTCTTCTACTCTCGCGTGTAAAAAAGCGTGTAAAACAGCGTACTGCTAGGGAACACGAGGGACGATAAAGCTGGTGTTTGTTAAACGACGATAAGTTGCTCGTATTTCTGTCTGTAACACGATTAGCACTTGGCCATTGCCAAGTTGCACGTTGAAATTGTAAAAAGGTAGCAAGCTTTTACGAGGAAGAAAGCGTGCACGATGATCACGCGAAGCAATATCGATCAGGTGTAAAGGCGACATATGTGCGAGCTGATTGCGTAGGTAAATTATACTCTTCCATACGCAGTGTTCTTCGAACGTATCTCTGGCTGCGTTAAATTTTCCAATTGAAATTCTACAAGTTTCTTTCGACGTAGAAATAATATCGTATTGTGTTGGAAAGAGCAGAGTTCAGCTTTAAGGAACGTGCGACAGTTGTCGATAAGCTAGCCGGCACGAGTAGGGTTTTGTGACACGTGGCAGTATCTACCCTTCTTACGAAGCCAAATTGCTATATTCGAGCTGCCCCTCTGACAATGCGTCACACCGCTGCGAAACTGGCCACTGGTCAATGAATTTATCATTCCATCGTCTGTCGGTATAGTATAGACCGGAAATGAGAATATGAGAAATTGTCGAGTTGTGCGAACGGACGAAACAGAGGAGAAATTGCGTAGAGAAAAGGGCGGTGTTAATCCTCCGACAGTTTATTCCGAGTGAAACTTGGGCAAACTTCCTTTTACCGTAGACTGTCAAAGGGTTAAAAGGTGATTTTCTAAAATTAACACTTAAAATTAAAATTCTAAATTTATAGAGATCCCATAGATCTGATCTCTGACTTGATCAATTATTTACCAAGCGAGGATTATTTAACGTCGCAAAAAAAAATGAAGAAAAAGCCTCGAGTGAGTGTCTCTTTACGAATGACTGGAATTAGTTGCATCGGAGAAAGTAATTGGTGCGTGGTGATTAGATCGGCAATGGTAGTTAACGATAGGCAATTATAGGTCAGAGATGATTATCCGGTGGAAGAGTGGAAACGCGAGAGTACCGGTGTCGTGTTCGTTTACTCGATTCTCCGTGAATATCGCCTGGTAGACCGGGGTCCGTGAGTTAATGGAAGGAGTCAATCAATCCTAGCCGCTGCGAAACTAGTTAACCAGTAACGATAATTATCTCATTTCTCCGCGGCGAACGATCGAAGATTCTCTTGATTAATTGCGCGGCGAGGCACCGTCGAGTTTACACTTTAGAATTACATTCCACTTAGTGTTACGAGAATCGATAGTTCAAGTGTTCGATTCTCCTTCGTGATAACGCGGGCTACGAATGTTCCAACTGTGCTGTACAGAATTCTTAAATGAAACATTATTGTTTAACGCAAAGAAGAGGTAGGTTGCGAAGAAACGACGTGTTAAATGGACACTCGGTTAATTCACAAAATAACTCAGCTAATAGGAGAGGTTGGCGGATGAATCGTCGAAAAATCGGTGAACGAAGCAACGTGCAGAGACCCTCGTGGGCAAGTGTGATTTACGGGCAAACAAAGTTCTACTATAATCGCGATTATTTTCCCCGCGACAACTCACCCGTGACATCTTGAACGATTTGTCGTAGCAAAAAGACGACGAGTATCGGCGGTATCTAGAGAAAAAGAGATAAAGAAGGGGAGAGAGGGAATATGTGTGGAGTTGGATGACGGAGGATGGCTGGCGGCGATACGGTTTCTTCAGGGCCTGTCAACGTCCGACGAGCTTCGACTGCGCGTTCGACGCGTACGAACGGCTGGTCTTCACTGAACCTCTAACCCTCGCTCTCGGCGTCCAAGTCGGCGTCCAAGTCGGCGCCGGCGTCGCGATGCTCCTACCCGATCGCGTGTAATCGCGTGCTTACCGGTGTCCACGCCAACGACGACCACCCCTGCTTGCCGATACCACTATTATTTCCCTAGTGTCGTAAACTTAGTTTTGTCGGTTAACGACGCCCGTTAACGGCCCTCGTGATAACGTACTCGCCGTGTACGTCGCCTAATTTACGACACACCGAGTTTTTAGGCTGTCGAGAAATTGTTTCGTCGTATCGTGGTTTGCTCGCGTTAGATTTACAACGATACCATCTAAGAAGCTGGACAATCCCTCGGACCATTTGTAATTATCGAAAGTTAGAGAAACGTGTGCAGGTGTTTAGGGAAGTTTCCTATTCGAGTACAGTTTAATCTTCTCTTTGCTCTCTCTTAATCACCGAGCGAAGCAGGAAGTTAGAGGGTCGTCAGGCGGTTTCGTGCACGCTTGGAAAAAATATTTCTCCCGATTCGTTATTCGTCGAACTTGTCGCCGTCGTCGGAGGAAATCTGTGGCTGGTACCCCTTCGTCGTAATGGTTTCTCGATCTCCGTGTACCTTCGTGGAAAACTTTTATCCGAGCCAATCATTCCGGTCACGACATTCGAGCTTTACCAACCGCGCTATGACAACGGCAGGATTTACGATCGCCCGGTGTCATCGAATGGAAAACAATTATTCGGAATAATAACCAACGATAACGTGTCTCGGCGATACTTTTACCAGAAAAAGAATTTATATAGTTGCCATTGGATGATACATTCTTCGACAATTATCGTTGTAAAATGTTACAGATACAAATTCAAGATTTCCTGATGGAATGCGGTTTTCCATAAACGTAAACTCGATAATGAAGTCCTCTGGAGTATTTCGAGCGGAACTTAATCTTTATAAAATTGTATCCTATCCCGCCGGAAGTAACCCACATGGCTCCGTTGTTCTCCTCTGACAAGGAATCGACTCCTATGCACGTGATTGTCGCACCAGTTGGTCCATACTCCGCCTCGACTTCCTGCAATGAAAACGAATCAACGTTCAAAGCATCGTCCAACCAATTCGTCTACTCTCACTTCATAAACGCTCTGTGGACCTTTTGCTTGCCGAAACGGGGATATCGTCCAATTTTAGTAGTTTTTCGATAAGAAAATTCTAAACTCGAGGCAAACACGGATAGGAAATGTGCGAAATATTATAACAACGATCTGGCCGGTTATCTCAATCTTTTACCTGGAAGATGAAATATTTTAAGTGAGAATTATGCAAAAGGTTAAACAAACTCGTTTGAATAAAATTGACACGTTTCTTAGACAGTAATCGACCGAGCTCGCGCTGCCAAAAGATAATTCCAACCGGTAGAGTTAAAATAGCTGAGAAAGTGTATCGAATCAGCGATAGTAAAAACAACGTGTACTAAAATTGGAATAATTCTCTTGGTCGGCAGAATTCGTTGTAATCAACACGTAGCGATAATGGTCGACGACGCTGAAATGTCATAGACACAGTAGGTGGTGGGTCATCGACTCGTATTACACAGCCACGCACTTGATATGCACCGATCCTGTACGATCTTCTCACGTCGTACTCCCAGATAAGTTGCTCGTCCGTTCTCCTCTGGCACTGTTCGTTCTTGTACGCTGCGACATAGAGCAGGCTCAACAGGAGAAACAACCCAACCAGCCTCATCCTCCTTCTTTCGTCCAGGTTTCGTCCACTCTCAAGGTCGCCGAGATAAAACGCCAAGAAGAACGACCGATTTTACACGTGACAGTCACAGATGGAAAACACCGTTGTATTATCGAAGGAGAACGATGCTGCTTGTAGCACCAACAACTCCACTGTATTAATAGCCAACCATCGATACACCGAAAGTTCCCCCTTCTGTGCTTACAGTATTTACTCTCGTTGCACACTCCCTGCCGGATGCTTCTTCGCCGTCGCGAAGATTAGATACAACCACACGCCTGCTATCTTACATCGTACTCCGCGCGCTTACTGTTATTTCCATCGGCTCTGTCAACCGGTCTTTTCACCATGCAACCGTGATAAGAATCACTTTCACCTGTGTCAAGTTTCTTTCTTGAAAGCACCGAAAGGTGTCTCGAGAGATAATCGATGGTGAAAGATGATCGTGCAGTTAGTGGAAGAGATACAGTCAGTCGAGGCCGGATTAGTATGCTACACACAGTTTTTATTAAGTTTCAGTCGGAAACGTAAAATACTGGGTGTCGCTTAATATGCTTTAATATACAAACTCGCTATATCTCTTCTCTCGACTGTGTACACGCGAAAGTAAACGTGAAGGAGAACTATTTCCTCTTGCGAGGCTGCGCGGCTTAAGTAGAGTAGCCTAGTAAATAGTCAGACGTGACGAAAGGCTATGAAACGTGTGTTTGGAAATTCAGATAGCGTGACAATTTCGATAATTCAGGCAATTCTTACGCAACCTCGGAACTTTTAAGCGTACTCTGTGTATACAGCGAGCAGAATTATCCTCGAATCATTTCGGTACATTCCGATATGCCACGATAACTGTATATAAATATTTTGGTTTTTATGAAAATTCGCTGGACCCAGAGTTCCAAGAGTTCGTACGCTTAATCGACGCGTCGTTTTCGTGTAAGGATATCGTATCGACGCGTTAAACGCTTCTTACCAGCAGGAAATTGGCAAGTAAGGCGTAAGTGGTGGCAGTAAGCGGACCATTGGTATGCGAGTCAGGTGAATCTGTTCTCACAGAACCCCGTGCCTGGAACCACGTGGTACGCGTTACCCAAGAAAATAACTTTCTTTCTTGTTATTTCGCAGACAAATCGAGTTAACGGCTTTTAAAGTTCCTCTTGCCCAGCCTCTCGACCGTAACGTAACCGCAAACGAACAGCTTCGACGGGTCTCGATGAAAAAGAACCGCGAGTTAAGCTCGTTTCGAAGCGATTCTGAAATCTACTCTCGTGTATCACCTTTCCTCCTATCCTATCGTTCTTTTCGAGACTTCAAGCTCCTCGTGTTACTTTCTTTTCCTCTTCAATTGCAAACGATCGTAAACAAAAATTAATCAGCTTGGTGAATTCGAAGAATTGGTAAATCGGTAACTCAACTATGGAAACGAAAGAGAGCGAATCGTGATAATCGCGAGAAGCCTGTCCTCGGATAACAGGGGTCGAGGGAAAAATAAGCATTTTTTTTCTGCAAAATCAGGTGACACAACACGATTCGGTGACATTTCGATACTCTTCCCGTTTTCGCTGTTTAAAGTGCCGAAAAATACACTTGCGAAACTTCTCCAAGATCTGCGAACGACTCTTCGGCTCTTTTCGTAGGAGTGAACCAAGTGAATTCGTCGTCCGTACACCAGGATGCCATTGAAATCCACGCGATCTTCAACGGAAGACGTGCCTTCCCCTGATGAAATGTAAAAAAAAATGGAGCGGTCTACGTATTGATTTATTTCACCGGCCGTCGCCAAGGACGACTCCATTTCAATATTATCGCATGATAAGATTGCGTTACACACTTTCTAGCTGCCTCTCCGAATCACCATCTTCCATCCCGCTTCGTTGTGAAAACAACCTCCGCCCTGTTTTACCTGTCGTGCGAGCCATCAATGGTATTTACGATCATTCTTGATCCTTCGTCGTACTATTACGCGAAATAAACGTCAGGTGATCACGAAAATTCACGGTGACCTGTATACGAACCAGCCCTACCTCTCCGCCACTCTGTTACGCAAATCGTCGACCTTCCGAAATGAAGTCTCGAGTCTTTGAATTAACGTCAAGTTAAACGAACGATCGTGAAATAAATTTCGATCGTGAAGGGAGAGGCGGAGAGAGAGGAGAGAAATTAGTAAGAAAATTGTAGGATCGTCTGAGACAGTTGACAACAGCTGGTGGCGATAAAGATTTGCCGGGAAGGAAGAGAAAAGAAAAAGTTGGACAGAAAAGGAGAAAAGCAGATCCGCGATAATACAACATCTCACGAACCGTCGACCCCGTTCATCTCAAAGTCCGTGTCAAGCTGTTCTGCCCTCTCGTCTAAGTATAACCGATTAAACTCGTCCGTGTATCTCTTATAGAACTTGTTTGTTGCTATTGATACATCATCAGATACCGTTTGTATACCGATCCATCACTCTATCGACAATGCATCGTCCAATCGTTCTAACGACGCGAAAATTTCCAACATTTATCTTAATCTTTGGTCCTTACTTCCTGCCCACGTTGACGTAAGAACACGGACTTTAATCAGGTAACCGACACGTAACCCATCGTACCCCATTCCTCGTCCAATCGGTTCTTCGTAAATCGAATCGATCATTTTGCGGAGTTCGAGTAACCGAGAAAGGAACTTCAATTGTTCTCGACTTCCAATTGGGATCGAATTACGTGGAAGAAACGTACTACGTGAGAAACAAAGAAAACGTTACGTTCCGAAGAATTTTTATTGATCAGGTTTCGTTATTTTCATAATATGCATCACGAGTATTTACACACGAGAATCTCAGAGTCCAGTTCCTTATAAAATATCAAATACTACAAAATACAGAAATTCCGCACGGGTAGAATTTTCCGTTGATTTACAAAATTTGCTCGCGTCCTTAAATGTACACGTTTTCACAGTTTTTTCTGAGAATATTCGAGACAGTTCGCTTGATTATTAATTGAATTATAGTTTAGTTAACGTTATTTACAAATTATCGAGCTTAACGTAAACGAAGTGTAGGTAATTAAATATAAAATTGTTTCGTAATGTCTGTCTCTCTGCGTGTAGGTGCGCGTCGCGAGTGTGTGTCTCTGCTTATCTAACTAATCAGGGTCCGAAGGTTCAAATTGTCTCGACGCGGTTAAAAACGCGAAGGAAGAAATCTGACTTGAACGTGATAAAAGAAGTGAAAAAGAAAAAAAAAAGCGTGGTGTGCATTTTGCGCGCTAGGTAACACGATGTAATTGTTGTATGCCCGAGAGCTAGGAAATTTTTACTCTCGGTATTCTCCTCGTTGCACCAGTCTACGAAGATAGGAACATTATATTAATCGTGGCGCGCAAAAGTGGCGCGTTCGGCGGCGATAGCACGTGATTCGAACGTGTATATTTTCTTCTCCTTTTTTTTCTCATTGATAAATACAAACTTGACCTTTCGAAGCACACACACACACACACACACTCTCTCTCTCTCTCTCTCTCTCTCTCTCTCTCTCGTACCACTTGGTTCATCTTTTTCTTTTCCTCTCATAATCGCTGGAACGGTTCATTCGACCGGTGTCTCCGAATACTGGCTGTCCCACGTGAACTTACTCAAACCCCCTTGAACCTCGTTTCTCGAACGACAGACGTCCGAATGTTTTATGATTGTCCCAACAAGCGGTACGAACGCGTCTCTCGTCCAAGCTTATCCCATTCTGTTTTCTCTCGCTGAGACAATGTTCGCGCGACGTTCGCCGCGACTGCTTCAAAAAAACATACTCCATTAGTGTTCGTTTAGGGAGAGAGAGATATCGCGTTATCTTAGCTAAAATTACTGCACTACCGCTAATGGTGGATTATGCTGGACCGGCTGCGCCCGCAGCATGCCCGCGAAACGTCTGAATGGCAGCTGAAGATGATAATAGGCACAGTAAGGCAGCGGGTCCCAATAAGTGAACAGAGCTTCCCGTTTGTCGAGCACGGTACCCATCAAATGCGGCACCGTTTCTCCACCTGGTCGTTTCAGCGCACAGGCCACCGCATCCGGTAGCAAATCCGATGGACTCAGAATTCCGGAATTCTGCCTGGAGAAATGTCGACACGGCTTCCATACCAAACGAGGATGGATTCTAGTGTGACAAATGTACGGCAAACTAACACCTACCCTACAGCTGATCGGTACCAATTCTCCTTCCTCTGTCATGGCTAAACTAAAGCTCAAATGTCCATTGATCCTGGTACCGAAGGAACGAGCGAAAAATCTCTCTAACCATTGACTCACTTCTGCCCGCTCTTCGGGAATTAGACCTCGCTCCTCGTCCACCAAGCAAGTTACATTTGTCACGACCTTTGAACCCTTCACCGTCGTACAAGTGATGTAATGTTTCCCGCTAGGGTCTCGAATTACGACCCAAGATTTGTTCTCGCCGATCTCGTATTGCTGGTTTCGAAACTCCCTCAAGGTTGGAGGAAGCACTATTTTACTACGATCTCTCATCCCTGTCGGACCAGCGGCCAGCATCAAGTACCTTCCCGTGGCGAATGCATTTTGCTCGTACAACCTGGAAACGTCTTGCATCGAGCATAAAACTGTGTGACAAGGAATCGGTAGACCAACTACGCGACATCTTTCCAAAAGTTCCAGAGTATCGTCCAGAGCTGTAACTTCACTTGCACCGGGCACGAAACACTCACAACCCATTACCTCCAAGTAAGGTTTCGCCAGTGCATCGTAGTAGGCTGTGTTGCTGGCGCTCACCGGGATATAGTACACAGCTTTCTCCTTCTGAACAATGTCTTTCAGGGCTTTGATATACTCGATCGCGTTACCAGGACCTGGTTTCGGTATCGTGTAGAACTTGGAGCACGCGGTTGAGAATTTCGCCAGACCGAACAAACCGTCCAGCTCGCAGATCACCACTCTGGCACCTGCTTTGTGAAAGTTCCTAGCCAGGTGGACAGTTTGCACCGTGCTACCGCCGCTGATCAGGACGCAACGTTTGTTACGAGATCTTTCGGAAGCTGGCATGTAGAGCACTGTGAGAAACCACTTGAAAGCAGTGAGAGGAAACTGAAAAATCACCCATAGCATGTAAACCCAAATAGAGGCTCCGAGAGCTGGTGCCCAGATCACGTAACTTATTACGCTAACGATGCTTTCAGCTATCCCAAATAACACACCTATATACGCTGTAAGGATCTTCAGTAAGAACCAGTCATTCCGATTATGATTCTGTCCTTGCCTAGTCTGAGTCTGATGGTTTAACTGTAGCCTCTGTTGTTGTTGTTGTTGTTGTTGTTGTTGCTGACGTCTCGTTGAGAATATGACAGTAGGTGTGGTTGAGTTGGACGATTGGGAGATATTCGATGTGTTGGAAGAGTTTGAAACGTTCGACACGGAACGTTTCAAAGTAGAGATCGGTGATATCAAAGGCGGCGAGGTGGACAGAGGTGAACTGGGTATAGGTGGTGACAGGCTGCTGCTTCTGGAGATCGGTGGACTCGAGGTCCAAAACCTCGAGACGTTTTCGCTGGTACAGGCTGGCATTCTAAAGATTTCCTTTTCCTCTCTTTATTCTCCAATGGGTTCGCCGATCGATTAATTACGAGGAATCCGAGCCCGTCTCGTACAGCGATTTTCTCTTCAAGCACGGATTCATAGCTCAGTTTTTACCAGAACAGAGAACAACTTGGAGACGAAGAACGTTCATTTCTTCGCTTCTCTTGCTACAGAAATGTGATTGAAAATATTGATTCGTTCCAAATGTGATCGACGCTTCGGAGAGACGAACGATGCGCGAAGTGGAGGAACATACACGAGGCACATGTACGATACTCGCGAAGCGCACGCTGATTTTTCAGCTGAAAACTTGCTAGAGATTTGCCAACGAATTCGCCGGTATGCACACACAGCTTTAACTGAGGCCGGTCCTCCAGTCTCTTGGTCTCTTATGCGCTCTGCATCTCGGACGCACTATGAACCGAGTAGTCTTATCTAATCGTACAGCTTCAGACACCGCGATTGAAAGAAAGAAGGAATCGAGTCCTCGCTCTGATCAACGTCTCGCCGTATTTTTTCCTAGAAAATACGTCGAGATCAGTTAAAGTAAATAGGATTATGCACCCCGACTCTGAGGAACGTCTTGACATTCCTCACGCAACCTCTTAAACGTAACAGATATCGATGTGTATCACATGTTATCCATACTTTTTATTACACGCGATACGTTTCCTTAATTATGTCATAATTAAAATAGTAGAATAAAAATAATGATGAGTTACGAGGTTATTTATCGCAGTGCAAAGTGGAAACGAATCTTTCTCATTGTTACTACGTTGAAGTTGTTCCGTTGAACGGATATTTGTTGAAAACCTTTTTAAAAAATCCCAACTAAGTGAAAACATCCTTGTGCGATTATCTATCGATAAATATTCTGAAAAGAAAATTTTTTCATTTAAATTATACGTTGAATATGCTCCAACCTAGATATTTTTTATCTAAATAAAGCTTTCGTATAAAATATAGACAGGTTTTTTTGTAATACAACAGCATTGATAATTATATTGAATGTTTCAAATATCGCATTTATATCTTGTAACGTGGTCGCCATTATTGTTTATGTTTTCTAAAGCACAAACGCGCCACCTTTGGAGGAGAAAGGATATCGTATTAAAAATGTGCTGCGCGATTTTTGCACAAGTATACAAATTTTAAATAATTGTATACATTGTTAAAATAAAATGTTCCAACTATATAAATGGTTAAAATACAGTGAATACTCTACTACCACCATGATCAGAATTCAAACTGGAGAAACTGTCAACCGTCGATTCCTGTGCCTTGGTATGGTGAAATTTGAAGTTTCCCATTAATCAATTTCAGCAGTCTTTGGCATTCTCCAATTCGTAAAATGTCAAAAACAACAAAAGCTAAAGCGTACGTTATTTATTTTAATGCTTTCTTAGTAAATCTTCGAAATATGAATTCCATATAAATTTTTATTTACTATTTTTGTCATTTTTAATTAAAACTGACACTGATTTAACTGTGACATTAATATAATATAAAAACAATAGTGTTTGCTTTATTTAAGTTTAACTTTATGGAATGTCCAAAGAAATTAGATTTTTTCTCTCATACCCTCTGTTTCTTGTAGCATTTAAACAAATATAATTTTTTTTACAGTGAAAAACGAAATATTGGGACACAAACGCGTGAAATTGATACTATGTTAGAAATAGCACGCTTGCAGGAACAAGTGAAGCTTCTTACCATTGAAAATGACCATTTGCGAAAATATACTAGTGAAAATTCATCAAGTATCTCACAGTTTATAACACCTACAACAAGTCCTAATTGTATAGATAAAACAGTTAACCATAATGAAACAAAGCAGAAACCCTTACAAAGTCAAAGTACACAGAGAAGAAGTAATAAAGCAGCAATACGTGGATGTAATTGTAAAGGGAAATGTTCTTCTAAAATATGTGGTTGTGTAAAAAAAGATACTCAATGTGGAGAGTGGTGTAAATGTAATAATGATACTTGCAAAAATCAGGTAAATGATTAGTTTTTATCTTTCTTGTTAATCTATAATATTTATACCGAATTGTGTGCCAAATTAAAAATATAATGTTTTAGGAGCATCAAGACATGGATCAAGACACAGAAAATTTGGTGCCTAATGAATTAAGACATAAACAGATGAAAAGCCAACAACTAGTGAATAAACACATAATAGATAATAATGCACATAAGAGTCTCTTTTCTCCAAATGCTTCGATACAGGACTGTGCTCTTAATACGGAAGAATTTCAATCAACATCTTTATACTTTGGCTGCCCTAATCAGTTAACATTTATATCTGATGAAGAACAAACAAAAACAGACAAAAATGGAAAACTTGAAGAAATAGTGAAAAATGATCAGAAAACTGTAACAAAGAGAAAAGGTAGACCTAAGAAAAACAGTTTTCAGGTAAATGGTTCTCAATATGTACGAAAACTCAGGTCCAGCTCTAACGAAGATAAACATAGACAAGATGATGTGAAGATAGAAAAGCACATACTAAGGAAATACAGCTCTAATGAAATGCAAATGAATGAGGAACTTCAAAAAATAGAAAAACGAACGAAAAATATTGTTCAAAACGTAATGAGTGGTATGGTATCTCTTAGACGACGTCAAATGAAATCTAAACAGGATAAAGTCAAAGATACAAATACTGGTAGTGATACTGATTCAGAAAGTAAGACCTTTGACTAAAAATTGAAAATAGTAATTATAGAAAATTGTCTAATTGAAAATTTATATTTATAGAAGAAGTTACTAGTTCAGTCTCAAAGGTAAATAATTTAAAAGAAACACCAGAAAAAATAACGAATAAAATTTCAAAAATATCGAGAAAACAAATAAATGTCCAGGAAATACAAACACATAATGATAAGCAATCAGATGACATAAATGAGGTATTGTATTCGTTTAAAATGTATCTGTTGTATGTAATAAACATTCTCGATCTATTTTTTCTATTTCTCTAGCATGATGATCCTGATTTTAATCCTATGAAACCTAAACGTGAATTACCTAGAACACCAGTTCATGGTAACAGTGAAACAATACCTTGTAATACTCATGATACATCATTATCCATTTCTAATGTTACTATAACAGAAGAAGAACTTCTTCAAATGCCTATAGGTAAATGGCTGAAATATACTTGAAAGATTAAATAAATACTTCATTTACCGATGCAAACAATGAATGCAAATATTAAAATAATTATCACATATTTATTGTCCTAGACCTGAGTCAAGCTCAAGTAAACTGGGAAGAACATCAATCTCAGCTTGTTGCATGTAATAAATGCAAAAGAAAATTCCATCCATTAAGAATTAAAAAACATCAAAACTGTTGCAAAAAAGTGTGAGTAATGATTTTAAATTATGTGCCTTCAGTTATCCTGTTTATATTTACGAGATGACTAAGTAGTACATTATCATTTCTTAATATTTACAAACAGGACAGGTTTAATAATAAAATAAGTTTGTTACAACTTTGGCCCATTCAATATAATTATACCATCAGAAATATGTATATTTATATATATATATTGTGATGATTGTTTGTATGTATACATTTATGTAATTCTTATGTTCTGGTGGGAAACGTATACACGCATATACACAGAATCACGCACCTCGAAACTCATACATACCCGTACTTAACACTGGATATTAGAATTTTCCACATATCATTTTCTAAATTGTATGTATCGTACATTTCTACGTAGTTAATACATTTTAATGTTTTTTATACACTTCTATGTATGTACAATTTGGGATCAAATTATGTGATGTACATGTGCCTCATCAATTTACTGGAAATACGGAAACACTAATACATAATATTGCAAAGATAGCAGCGGTCCGCTTTCTCCTAGTGCTTAAAAAAAAATACAAAGAAAATATGATTGGGTACGTTATAACAAAATGATATCCTCTGACAGTCTCTTTTGCAGTTATATGATCATTGGATTTGTATAAATATTAAACTACAAATTTTTATGCAATTAGCATAACAATGGAATTAAAAAAGCAGAGTAAGCTGTATCAAAATATGAAATCATTGTACATACATACGAAAAAAAAGTAATATTGTCAAAAATAATGAAGTTAGTTTTATTTTTGTATTATACAACAATGATTAAATTTAACTGATAATATGTATGAGTAATACCATATATGAATACATATAAGTTTATCGCTTAATTTTCTCTTTTTAAATATTATGTAGCATAACAACAGTATAATTTAGAATATGTTTTAAAATAGAACATCACTTTTATACCTTGTAATAAAATACACAGTAAATTGTATGTAAAGATCTATTTTATAATACATGGGGTATACGAACACCAACACAGTTTAATATTGTTACAAATAATACTGTTCAAAATTATAAAATAAAATCTTTCAGAATCAAAGCAAACTTAAAAGGCACCTAATATGTATGTTGACTAGAAATTATATTTTTATATATGACAAAACAATCATTTTGCCTCAATTATGTTAACAAAATAATATATCTTCTGCTAATTAGATTTATCCTGCACCTAATAATTGTCATTTCGTGAAACTATATTTTTAAATAACAGTAAGAAATACTGTTCAAAATTAATATCTAAATTTGTTAATTAAAATTAACTGCAAGCTTTCCAATTCCATTGTAAAACTAAGTATAAGCCTTGTTTTTTGTGTGTATAAGTAGGAATACAAAAGTAAAGATAATTGGCAATGTTTTATTAGAACTGGCATGTAATAATGACACACAGATATTATTTGCATAAGATACGTGGTAGCTCTTTTTATGCGACTGCATAATTAGGAGATTCAAGTATTAGAATTCATTCACACCATTTCCAGCATTATCAATTTTTGACCTTCGTATCAAAAGCATCCTTTCTGAAAGAACGCTCATTAACATTGTGCTCACATTGTCTTTGACTAGTAACAATGATACATTAATAGTACCACGTTGAAACAATATTCCACGACGTATGTAAGCTGCGATCGTCCCACTCTCAATTTTTAGCCGTCACGCTATCTCTTATTCTTGTTCCTTATAAAATTTGTGCCTTTAGAAAAATGGAAGTGTATCGATAGAATACAAATGGTAGAATTCGTTATTCATACACGGAGACAATTTGTTTTCAATACCGCGATCATCATATTTATACAAGTCCTTGCATGTTTCGTCAGTGTTCATGGATTGTTTCTAGCCGTTAGATAAACTTAAGTTCCTCGAAAGAATGTTGTATTCGCGATTTATTACCATTTTCAAACCTCTAAAACCTGTTATCCAAGAACATGTTTTAGTTTATCTTTGTTTCCTTTTTTTTTTCTTTTTTTTTTTTACGATTAACTTTACAGTACGTTCATGATATATTGTGAACAAACGAGCGTATTCCACATTTACGACATTGCTTACAATATTACTGCTGGTTTTAGAGTCTATGGTTTCATAACCGTTTTATAGTTAATAACACTTTTACATAATTAAGGTATTGTCTATTAGAAAGTTATGAGTTTTATACCGGTAAAGGCAGCGGTCACAAAGGGTGCACTGCAATTGTGTATCCTTTTTTTCTCAAATTATAATGCGTGTATTCCTTGGGTCTCGAGACTATTAATGTTTTCAATTCTACGGAATGGAAAAATAAAAGACCTGTCTTTCATGATATAATAATAAATTATATACCACCGACAATTCTTAGAATAAATTACACCGCGTATTATTACTGCATTATGTACACGACGTTATTGTAAAGAAGGAAACAAAAAACATTTTATCAAATGGTAATTATAGGTAAAACGTAATATAAAAGAGAGCAGTACGAATAATACACGGCATTATTTTA